AGAGAGACAGAGAGAGACAGAAATAGAGACAGAGAGAGACAGACAGAGAAACAGAGAGAGTTAGCCTATCCCAGGGATGGACCCACTAATCGTTTGTCCAATATAAAGTGATTATCCCTGAAACCATAAACACACACACACAACAACAAAAAACAGACTGAGCAGGTTCCAGTTGGGCTTATATATCCATGCATATGCTTATACATATACCTAAAAATAATAATCCAGGAAGAAGAGGCTATCAGTCTGAGCCTGAATAGGGGAATAAGGAAGGAGTTGGAGGGAGAACACTTGAGGGGGTTGGAGGGAGGAAAGGGAAGGGAAAGCGGGAAAGTGGCATAACTATTTTAGTTAAAAGTGTATAAAAAAATAAAATGACCCATGAGCCAAGCCTTTGGAAAACTCTTACTGGCTGACTTTAGTCCACTTCAGTAACTCTCTTCCTCTCCCCCACCTTCTCTCTCTACGACAACTATGATTCAAGAGAACACTTTTCAAAACTACATATTGAGGATGACCATAACCCACGATCAAGGTCAGTCTGTTCCACTTCTGTCTGACTCCGATAAGTTCCTGTAAGCTCCCCTCATCTCCGCTCTGGGATGTCTGCTCTAAGCCTCTTCGCTATCATATGTAAGAAGACTTCGAACAACCATATTATCAACAACAGCAATGTCTAATGGCCATGTACTAATAAGAGTCAAACAACATGAAAACGTTTTATATGCGCTTTCTGTTTAATTTTCTGTGCATTCCAAGGAAGGCGCTGGCTTCGCTTTACCGAAGTGGCTGAAGGTTGGAGAAGAAAGGCCTCTAGCCTCTAACTCTTTTTTTTTTTTTTTTTTTTTTTTACACTTGCCCTGTCCTAGCTCCTGCGCCCAGATGGTCATCAATCATTGCTTCTCAAGGGGAACCCTTGACGCCCAAGGTCAAAGGTGGTACTCCTCCCACCTGTCAGCCAAGCCGGCCACCTTCTAAACAGACCTAAGGGAGCGATCTTTCTGGCTTCATGGTCTTTCCTTGAACCCAAGTTCTCAGCGCGCCGGGAAGTTTCCGAGCGTCTGAGCTTGCCGTAAGTTTGCAGCGAGGAGAAACGGCTGCTGATACACTCAGGTCTCCGCCTGGAGTGGAGATACCGCATTCCGAAAGGAGGCCGGAACCTTTCTCCACTCTCCGTGGTACACGGCGGAGAGCGGAACCTTTCTTCTCTGCCCACAGTTCCCAGGCGGAAGAGTGCGAAAACGGAACGTCCCTCAGCGACCTACCGGGTTCTTGCTGGGGTCGCCTACTGCTGACGTGTGCCGACCGGCTTCTGGCCGCGGTGTGGGTCGCTATGGCGGTGGACATCACACTCCTCTTCCGGGCAAGTGTCAAGACTGTGAAGACACGGAACAAGGCTTTGGGAGTGGCGGTGGGTGGCGGGGCCGATGGCAGCCGGGATGAGCTGTTCCGCCGAAGCCCTCGGCCCAAAGGAGACTTCTCCAGCCGGGCCCGTGAAGTGGTAAGCTGGTTGCTATGGAAGCGGCGAGCGGGAGATGGGGGGCGGATCCGCACCCGGGACCCTGGACCCCAAACTCGACCCAGTCTTGTGAGCCCTGAGTGAAGAGAGGGGGTCTTCAATGAGACACAAGAGTCGGTCTCACGGAGCCGACAGCTGGCTAGGGGCGGCGACGAGTTTATTCTAGGGAAGAGGGACACATATCCGAAGATTGTAGGAATAGCAAGACTTGAAGAGGTGTTTGGTTATCCATGTAATCAGGAAGTTGGTGGCTAAGTTGAGGCAGGGAGTTCGCCCTCACTGCTGACTTGAGTGCCAGTGAAAAGTTCCCACAGTCCTTCGCTTCCTGACGCAACGTTCACCACTTGACCTTTGCCTCTTTCTTGTACATGTTTGGGCCTCCTCTTGCGCATAGGGTTTACAATCCACGATCAGCTGAATTCTTCATTATCCCCGCCTTCAGTAATAGATAGGACTCAGTACCTCCTGAGTCTGGTTTAGGATAATCTTTTACCAACACCAAGTGTCACTGTCCTCTAAACTGCTTTCTGTCCCCCGAACACAACTGGCTTTCATTTGTCTCCAAAGTAGGAACCTTCCCCATAAGGTCAGGAACGGTGTTGACATTATCTCTTCATGTGTGACTAACAACATTACTTAGTAAATGCTCCTTGAATGAATGAATGAACAAATAGTTGACTGTTTTCTCCACTAAACAGGAAAAAGAAGAGATATAATGTTTGCATTATATCCCTTTGTACCTGTGACGCTAAGGGTAGATGTTTTTGTGGCACCAGAGGCATATACAGTCTGTCTGCCCTTTTTGAGAAAAACACACATACACACACACACACACACACACACACACACACACACGCCCAAAGCATTGAAAGTTACAAGTCGGGGGACCTAAACTTTAAGCTTCATTGGTTCACCAGTAAGCCCACATGTGCTTGGCACATAGTTCAATGCTTGACACTTTCTTTTTTTGAGACAGGGTCTTTCCAGGTAGACTAGGCTGGCCTTGAACTCACAGAAAGGTGGCCTCCTCTGCCTCTCAAATGCTGAGACTAATGGCATGGGCAGGCCCCTACACCCAGAAGTCACTCAGAAATTTTTGAATTAATATACATATGTATGAGTTAATGGCTGTTTACAGATAATGTCTAGGCACAACAGGGATCATGGACCAGATAAATACCTCTCCCTCCCTACAATAAACATCTACTTAGTGCTTACCTTCTGACCAGCTCTATTTTAGAGTAACAAAATATTGCAGTTGTGGAGGAGAGAGATATATAAACAAAACTCCTGTGGTGAGCCCTGCAGGTATGCTGTAGTGCACAAGGAAGAATGTGGTTAGTTCCACTTGGGGGAAAGGCTTTATGGGACAATGATCTCAAACACACATTCTAAAATAAGAGTAGTTCGTTTCATTGCAGGAAGCGCATCTCAGGCTAAGATACCAGCATGCTGGTTGGTCCCCCATATTCCTGGATGGCCACACACCCAGGAGTATATGGGCAGTTGGACTTGAGTTCATTTTTAAAAGGGGGGGCTTGAAGTTGGGGAAGGTAAGGAAGTGGGAGGGGATTTGAGAGAAGTTAGAGGGGAATAGGGGCAAATATGATCAAAACACATCATATGGAGTTTTCAGTGAATAAACAAAATATGGTGTTTTTTTTAAAGAGGCCAACATGCATAAAGGCATGAGGTAGCACCAGCTTGACTTAAGTTGGTTTGATGAACAAGAGAATGTGGGATATTCAGAAAAAAGTAAGAGTGGTGTGGCAGCCTGAGGGAAATCTAGAAGGACTTGTAGATCACTTTGGAGAGTTTGAACTTTGCTCTCTAGACAGTCCAATATTATGTGGGCAGTGAAGCACTGAAGAAGACCCAGGAGACCACATGGTTATCTTAACCATGGTAACTATTAGCCAGACCTATGCTATTAAGCAAAGTTTATTTACATATAAAATGGTCCCTTTTTATTTGCAACAGATCTTAAAAACTCTATTGGCACCAGGCAGTGGTGGCACACCCCTTGAATCCCAGCACTCCAGAGGCAGAGGCAGGTGGATCTCTGTGAGTTTGAAGCCAGCCTGGTCTACACAGTGAGTCCCAGGACAGCCGGGGCTACACAAAGAAACCCCGTCTCGAAAACAAACAAACAAATAAAACCCAAACAACAAAAACTCCATTGACTCCAATATATATATATCATTATCATATTTCCAATTATCCATGTATCACATTGAGGTGGCATGTCTTGGGTTGAAGTGAGAGGAAGGGTCCTCACTCCTCGACCCTGAGTCTGGCCAAGCTGTTGTGGAGGTTGCTCTCACACAGTGTGTGGACGTCACAGTTTTGGTGTGTGAGGGCCCTTCCTGAAATTGGTGGTTTACTACACTGTGCAGATTTTCAGTCCTCAGGAATAGAGGATTTGGGGACAGCAGAGTTAAGAAGTACAGTTCAGCTAGCAGCCCTGTGGGGAGAGAGTCCTATTATGAGTTGGAAAATCCATTTTTGACTCTTTTCCTTTAAGAGCCTCTGGGATGACGAATCTTTGAAGGTTCAGGCAGTCCCAGTGGTGGAAAGAGAGCAGCACATCTGGTTTAAAGGGCATTACCAGCAATGGCAAACACATCGAACCTATGGGTGTATTCTCATGTGCTGCCTCTGACCACAGAAGCCAGCACTCATTTCCCAGTAGATCCTGTAGCTCAGAGCCCCTCAACTCTGTGCCCCAAGAGCCATTACCAACTGCTGGGCTTGACATTAAGTTGAAATCTGCTTGATGTCCTACCCAGCAATTGGTTAAAAATTGAGCCGGGCAGTGGTGGCGCACACCTTTAATTCCAGCACTCTGGAGGCAGAGGCAGGCGGATCTTTGTGAGTTCGAGACCAGGAAAGGTGCAAAGCTATACAGAGAAACCCTGTCTCGAAAAAAAAAAAATTGATTGCGTACCTAAACAGAACCTTAGACTTTTCAGAACAGGCTTTTAAAGGGCCTGGAATTCAACTTGTTCAGACTAATTATTTTTATAGGTGAGAGGACAACACTCAGACAAGTACAGTGACTGACCCCAAGTCTTTGCAGCTGAGGCCATGTGCTAGAGCCAGAGGTAGAAGCCACCCCCTCTTTGCTAGTTTAATTTTTTCTCTCTGTTTTTGTATCTTAAATAGCCACCTAAAATGTTTAAAAGATTTATTTTTATTTATGTGTGTGTATACCTGTGTGACTGTGTGCCATGTATGTGGGGGTATCCTTGGGAGGCCAGAAGAGGACATCAGATCCCCTGGAGTTCGAGTTCGAGTTCCAGGTGGTTGTAAGCCAACTGACTTGGACTAGGACCTGAACTTGAATCGTCTTCAAGAGCACTCCTAATCACAGAATTGCCGTCCCCCCCTCCCCCCTGGCCAATAATTTTGAACAAAATTGTTGGACTTTTCAATGTCAAAGAGTTTTTTTCTTCTTGAGTTCATGGTGTGTGGGACTTGGAGCAGAAGGGCATAGATTTGAATCTCTTTTTGGCTGTGTGAAGTCGGAAAGTTTGTTAACCTCAGTTACCTTTCTTCTAAGAATGACAGCCACTTTAGAAGGTCACTTGACTGATGAAATTAGCAATGGTGTGCAAGTGCCTATGAGAGTCTGAATTCTGTGGTTACAAGTAATAGTAACTCATGAACCACCCAGAACAAAATACATGTTTTGGCTCACATAACTAATGGTTTGGTGTGTCTTTCTGTAGCTTCCATCCATAAAACCCCAGGAATGTACCTGTTTCTGCTTGAACCCCCAAACCTTTGTTGTGGTCCCAGGAACAAGGTTCTTTAGTTGACTAGGCCATACGTCCGTTCCATTCTATGGCCAGTAGGTGGCTTCGATATGATTACAGCCCCACCAGAACCTTAGAAGGGGAGTGCTGTGTTCAGGAGTGGGGGCAAAGGGTTGGTGGTCAAATACATATCTCATGGTGCCTGATGCACCAGACATTACTGAGCACATTGTGTGTCCATCCATTTCTTATCTCTTAGGATAAATGCTTGTAACTTACCTGCTTGTTATTATTTTTTTCAATTAAGAAAATTTTTTCATTCATTTTACACAACAATCAAAGATCCCCCTCTTCCCTCCTCCTGTCCCCCCAGCCTCCCCCTCCAACCCTTCCCCCACTTCTCCCCACAAGAAGGCAAGACCTCCCATGCGGAGGCATATCCAGTAGAGGCAAGTCCAAGCCCCTCCCCCTGCCTCAAGGCTGCACAAGGTGTCCCATCTGCTTGTTGTCTTGAATGACTTTGGGAATGGGCTGGGCCTGGAGATGCCATGTGGTGGCAGCTCTTCTTCCTTGTTAACTTTTAGAGGTTTCAGAGATCAAGGGAGCTACCACACAGGTACCCAGAGCCTGGTGAGCAGCCCAGCAGCATATCCAGAGCAGCAGGGGCTCCTGAGTAGCATGGAATAGAATGCCAGGAAAACTCAGTTAACACTAGGTCTGCCAGGAAGTCACTGCAACCTCTCAGGCCCAGTTACCACATTAACAAGACTGAGAGCTTAGACTAGATGACCATGGGAACTTCTGAGAAATCACAGAGGTTTTGATTCCAAGTAAGGTTATAGTGAGTCTGAGTTGTTGAGAATTCTATCCCCCTACCCCTAAATTGCTCAAACAATGAAGTTTTGTTTTTTATTGTATCTTGATTTTGTGAAAGTTGAATTTTATTGGTTGGTTTATTGTTCATCTAGCCATCCTTAAGAATTCATTAACTTTAGGTCTTGGCTAAAATCCAAAGTCCACACACCTATAGAATCCAGAAGTGGGCATCAGATCCCCAGGACTGGAGTTACAGATGGTTGTGAGTTGCCTGGTGTGGTGTGGGTGCTAGGAACCAAACTCAGGTCCTCTGTAGCTGGATAAATCTTTCCTGCCCACTGGCACCTGAATAACCAGTCAGAGGCTTGATATTAATTACAAACTGTTTGGTCTATGGTTCAGGCTTCT